CGAGGATGTGATAGAGAGATTTGTGAGCTAGGGGTTGCACAGAGACCGCGGGAGGTATGACTATGAGGGAGCGATTTTGTTTATCTCGTTCTGGATGACGCTTCCTGCTTGTTTTCTTCTTTGTGAGATTACTTATCAGCTACTGTTTCATAATTGTAAAGCAACTGTCCAAGACACTTTTATCGCGGGAGCTGTCTTTAAAGGCAGAACGCGATGGCTGCGGCGGGCGGTTGCTGCCAACATCACTGGTGGAAGGACAGAGGTGGGCGTGAGCAAAGGCCTTCCCGCATCCCCTCCACCAGACGCAGCCAGCATTTGCCCGCCCTGAAATCGTACCCACTGTGTTTAGATATGATTAAACAAAGTATAACTACTTGAGTGCATCGGAATTATAAGCGAGATGACCCCTTCGCGAGAAAAGCTGAACACTGAACGTTTTCATGATACGTGCAGCGCAGATATGCCAACGTTGCAGTGTGGAGTAATAAACATTCAGTGACTTGAAGCCTTTATGTTGTTTACTCTCTACCCCTTATCAGTGAGTATTTTTGCGCAGTTTGACGGCGGGGGGGGCATTTTGTACTGCCTCACACTGGCGAAACCTGTGAACTCTTGTGAAGCTGGAACAAGGTCGTCAAGCCATCATGTTAAAACCTGTCAACTCGAGAAGAGGCTGTCTAGATAGGTCGACACGGGAAGTAGCCATAGGGCAAAGTGCCTCTCCCACGTCGTCAAACTGCGCCCATACTTTTTTGATTTTTCGTTCTATTGTCATTTATAAGATCTTAGCGGCTGTATATTCCGCTCACGTTAGCAATCTTTTTAACATCATTTCACATGGGCATCCTTGTTTTTGTTTTGGATTTTTCTTTTCTAACAGATTACCAACTTTACTTTGCTTCAGGTAAACGTCGGTTTTCTATCAAGCTCTGGAAGACATTCACTGACTGTTTCAATTGCCTCCCAATTGCGGCTCTTATTGATGAAAAAATTTTCTGTTGTCATGGTGGTCTTTCTCCTGATCTGCAAAATATGGAACAGATACGACGCGTCATGCGACCAACTGACGTTCCAGATACAGGTTGGTGTGAGCTTTGATAGTTTCTTGTTCCTCCTTATTGTGGTGGTCATTCCTGATTTCACAGTCGGTGTTGAATCTAACAAGGGAGGTCGTTCAGGGCGTGGTGCGCTTTTCGAAAACGGTTTTTTGCATATTGTAGGGGCTCATGCAAGGACCTGAAAAGTGTGCTTCATTTTCGCTGCGCGCTTCCAGGAAAGGTAAAAAACGAGTGAAAAGAAATCTTTGGAATCTGCTTCGTTCTGGGCCTCTATGCGGCGTAGGTCACTTGCAACTTTGACCAGTTGCTGAGTGGGGGTCCTTATAAAGGGGCTATTTGAATCGAAGCGAAAAATCGCCGTAAGTGAGCTTCCAACTTGGGTCATGTGCTCAAGGGTGAACGGCTTCTTGCAATGGTTTCATCAACGATAAGAGCGCTAGCATAGTCGAGCATCGGATGGCCTAGCGGATAGAGTGGAGGTTTCGCAATCGGACAGTGAGGGTGGGGTTGATGGTTCGGCTCCCCTTGCGTCGTGGCTTTTTGCATTTTTTAGATTTCGCTGTTCTCGCTTCCATTAGTGTCTGCGCATGAATATAACTCGGATATTTGCCATTTATGGGCACATTCTGAGTTGTACCTCATGAGTCAGTGCTATTCAACTATTTCGATTTTCACGCACCATTGAACAAGATTGTTGCTGGACGTTGATCCTCATAGGCTATACAGTGGATCTGATTGCGAATTTAGTAACTTCTGGTGTGGTGTCAATTATAGACAATTTGGGGCCACATCTTCTTTCCACTGAATTCGTTATGTACACCAATATAGGGAACGTTCAGCGCTATTCTGTCGCCAAATTGCGTGGACGCCAAGAATAGGTGTTATATTTGTGATCAGGGCCACTGATTACCACTAAAAACGAATTTTCAGTCAAAACAATTGTTTTGACCTTCTTGGGTTTGCTTATTGGGTTGTCCGGGGTCCGTAGCGTCAACGATACGTCATCGCTGTTACGAAGATGTGAGACTCCGCTCATACTGCCGACCAAATGGTCGGCCACCTACAACCCGAAAAAGTCAAAAAAAATTTTTCGCTCAAAACTTGCTCCTAGGGGTAATCGACAGTCCTGATCACGATTCTAGACTTTATTTTCGGTTCCAGTGCCATCTGGCACCGGCATAGTGGCGAAGAAAACCCTCCAAGTAAGAACTTCTGGCAGCGTCACTGTGCGAGTTCTCCGGACTTGCTGGTTTTATGCCAGTAAGGCGATATCTTACCACCTGCGGCTCATTTATCGTTTCTTCACATCATCCCATGCGTATACCATTAAAAAAACGGAAAACACGGTGTTAGATTGAACTCACGACAGGAAATAGTCCTGTAGTTTCGGTGGGCTGGACAACTACAGAGGTTTCAGAACTGCCACATATGGGGCCTAGTGTGTTTTACTGTCAAGCCGCGAAAGTGGGAGTATCCTAAAGACTAAGGACCAGACTATCCGAACCAGGGAGGATGTCTGGGAGTTGGTGGAGCGGGGGCTGTCTATAAGTAACTTAAGAACAAACTTCTTATTCTGCGACGCTTACTACAGGAGTATCGAAGAATGGGAGAAAAGAAGAATGCGCTCAACGGTACAGCGAAAGGGTATGCATATCATTATGGAGAACATAATATAGAAGATCCTGAGGAAGAGCGTGGAAGGGTTAGGCAGGATTCAAACGACTCTGATTCATGGATCTCGGATATCCTCAGTGCCTACACTCATAGTTAATACGCATTTTAAGGCAGACACACAAATATACAATGCAATACACCTGTGAAATCAAATGATAATTGCCAACCGCATCTCCAGAATTCTTTCCAAATAGGGCGTTTAATTGGCAAAAAAGAACGGAAGGCTAAGCACTGTTATTTCAAGGGATTCGAACTCATATCCAAAACAACATGTGAAGCCTTCTGCTTGATATTCTTATTGTGGGTGTGAGGTTTTCTCTAACGCCCCTTGCGTTCAAGAATTCACTTGACAATAGAATTTCGATGTATTGATTTTAATAAGAACCGTTAGAATCTTGAACGCTATCCAAATATCAAATACCTTTTTAGAATAGAATTAGAGGGGTGCAGTTTGTACTCTTAGTTTCTGTGGAGGTGATCTAGTAAAGGAGTATTTGTCAGATCTAATGAATGTTCTCCAGTCTTATCCAGCATCTGAGGCGGAGGTGATATATTGACAGTTCTCGCGCTGCCACGCACGCGGTCCAGGAGTCATCTCGGAACAGCTCCCATCCAGCCAACCACGCCTTCTACCCTCCGGAGACGGTTCAGTATTTGCAGCAAAATTCGGCCGTTTATATCTCGCTCGCAACGAGCAAGCAGCGGCCTCAGTTCCCACATTTAAAATCAGCATTTAGTACTTTATGAAGATGAGTACTTCCATTTTGCGAAGATTCTTGATGGTTTCGAGTACGATTAGTACGTAGTCTTTCACCTATGAAATACAGGGAAATATTCAGCTTGTTTTCGGCTCACCATCAGCATACTTCCCTGTTGTAATTCCTGTACTGTAGACCTCCACAACAGCGATATCCGATATTAACAGCTTTTTTGAAGGGTTGGTGTAGATTGTAGAACTCCCGAAATTCCGGTTAGGTTTTGTGCAAATTTTTCTTCGTGGCTAGATGTGGCTGAATTAGACCGCTAGACCCCGAACAGCAACCCACATCTGCTGGCGCCAGTTTGTACCGCTCCAAGTAACTGTGATGTTTATGCGCAGGAGGATCACACTTCTTCCGGAAAGACTTTTTGGCCAAATTTGACCTAGAAGGATTTTTCAATCATCATGTTGTTGACCTCCCAAAAGGATTTTTTAATCAACATATTGTTGACTTATCTCGATAGGCGGGCCCAGAGGTTATGTGGCGTCAATTGTCAAGAATTAGGCAGCGCTTCGATACATCGATGCGCTGCCTAATACTTGGCAATATGAGATGTGATGGCTCTGAATTCACTACTGTCGCATAGCGCAATTGCTTCTGCTCACTGCTACTGTCAGTTCCGCTTCATAAGGGTATGATGCTGCTCAAAATACTAGGCGTATAGATCTAAACTCTGTGGTTCCCAAAATTTCCAGCCCTTCATTGTTATTCTTGCACTGCTGGTCGTCTTCGGACGGGTTGGATTGGTTTCGTCTGCACCCCCTGACTCGGGACCTAGAAACCTCCCTGAGTAGCGCGGTGGAGATTTCCTTCATGTTCTAAAAAAAGGTGGGGTGGGGGGGAGGGAGCAGCGCACGCCATCGCGTTGTGATCATTTAACGCTATATACACCCCCCCCCCCAAATCATGGTCATAATACCCCCCCCCCCCCCTGTTACGAGGGTACAGATGAAATGGCGCAAAAGGTACGAAGAAAATGACAATTAAGAGAACAGGGCACTATTGAACTATTCCTACCCCACACTATTTCTACCGCAAAAATTCAAAAAAATTTTTCGCTGAAACTTTGTCTGTAGATGTTATTCGATGTCCTGATCACGAGTATGACATCATTTCTCCATACCAGCGCTATTTAGCGCTCTGCTGAGGCTGAAACTGGGAAAAGGAAAGATTCCTCTCAGGCCAGGCTCAGTCTTAGCAAAGCGCAGATGACCATAGTGTCCTACGTTAGAGCTGGCGTCAAGAATAAATATCATATTCGTAAACAGGATGTCAAATAACCCCCGTATACAAGTTTTCATCGATTTCGGTGATTTAGGGTATTTTGGCCCCGGCGCCTGTGGCGCGGCGCCAAAATACCCTGAATCACCAAAATCGATGAAAAGTTTTGGGCGAAGCGGGTGTGATATTCGTGTTCAGGAGGTCGAAGTACCACTGTAACAGTATTTCCATCCAAATCTGCCCTCTAAAAAAAATCGATAAAAAATCGGCCTGATTTCGGCAGACTGGGGTAGGAATAGTTCGATAGTGCTAAACACTACAACAATACATCCTAGAAAACTACTAGAAAACAAAAAGAAACCTAAAATACCAAAATACCAAACAAACGACAAAAAACTCACCAGAAGTACTAGGAAGAATTATGGGTTAGCTTTTGAATATTAATTGTTCGCGGTCGCGCTGTATTAGCGCGCCGGCGAGCGCGCTAATACAAGCGTATTGGAGCGCGCTATTTTACGACCTGGAGCCAATTTCAAGCCAAACACTCGAAAAGTACCCCTCTTGAACACCCATAACTTCGTTGAAAGTAAAGCTCTCGGAGAGGGGAAAGTGGGAATGAGTGGAGCTAGGTTGGCTCTTGTTACCTGAGTTTGAGCGATTTCAAAAACATTTCTTTTCTAGAAATTTTCCCCGTTGTGATCCTTGCGTGAAGGGGGGGCCAACCACAAGTCGCTACGCTTTGGACATCCATGGCAAGCTTCATACATTCATCACGGCCTTTCGTAAAAAAAGAACTGTGCCGGAAGCATGAAGCTTTCTACTTTCCAGCAAAACTTTCACTTTATCCCTAGGCCTGCTATTCGAAAAAATCCCCCGTTGTGACCACGATACGGAAAATCCACTCTTCCGACGCCATGAAACCTCCGGTTGGTTTGAAGACTTGTGTATGCTTCTAAAACGCATGTTTTCGCCAAGGGTATCAGGAAATAGTTCATTGGGCACCAATTGGCATCACTTCTGCAATGCGCCATGCATAGCGCTTTCACGCAGAGCTATTGGGAAGGTGCAACTTCTAGAAAGGGCTTCCTCTGTGCAAGTAGATGTGCTTCTGCGATAGGAAGGTCCGGAAGTACTTTCATCTGCTTATTAGTTTACCAGTCGGCTCGCCGGCGTTAGCCGGCGAGCCGACT